TGAAAGCCCCAATTCAAAAACTCAATATTTGGCACTGTGATAAAGGTGGGGTCCTGGCACAGGTGGCCCTAGAGTAGCTGCCAGCAACTGGTGCCCTAGGCGACCCATGCAATCGGCGCCCCCACCTCCAAACCCCTCAATGATATTGTGCCACCATTTGGCGCCCCATTTAACTTGGCACCCTAAGCAACCGCCTAGTTCACCTATATGGACAGGCCGCCCCTGGGTCTTGGGTAGGAATACACACAAGTAACTGGTTCCCCAGGAGCAGCCCCCCACAGGGCCACCTGCCTGCCTCAGGCTGGTGGCTAGGCCAGGAACCAGTCCCACGCAGCTGGCGGGGAGGCCCTGTTGGTGGCTGGGGCTGGGAGCCGGCAGCTTTTCATGGGACTGGGAGCTGGAGCCCTGTGGGGCTGGAGTGGTCCCCCGCCCAGGATCCTGCTACTGGGTTAACCAGTTCAATGTTAACGTTTAACCAGTTAACGGGTTAATCGGGATTTTACATCCCTAGTCCCAGGGGAGCCAACTGAGGTCACCGAAGCTCTGTCTACACTACCAGGTTATTTCAAAATAAGTTAATTTGAAAGGATAACTCCAAAAATAACTCTTTCGAAATAAGCTTATTCCTTTTCACAAGCAGGAGTTATTATTTCGACATAACAGGCTTGGTTGTGTGGACACTCACCTTGCTATTTAGAAATGACTCTCCAGTGTAGACGTGCCCTTGGGGAGCTCTGCAAGAAATGGGACGGCCCATCCCCAAAGCTGATGGTTGTTCCAATATTTAGGCACCAAGCCAGCACAGAACAGCTTCTTTGTTACTTTATTGGTCAATCAGAGCCCAAACCATGCAGTGCCCTTAAAGTCCCCTGCCACTGGCTGCCACCCCCAGTCACCCCACGCAGTCAGGGCAGGGCGCTATGGATGTCTAACATTCCAATCAGATAACGTCACAGGCGCATTTGCATTTTTCCTTCTTCGCCTGCCCTAGAGAGAGCTTTTTGCCCTGCCCAGGAGCTGGGCTCAGCTGTGACCAGCTGCAGCCTTTCCACGCTGTACTTGGCTTTGCTTTGGTATAATCCCTCTGCCCGGCTCTATCACATGATTGTTGTGGCTGTAGGTTTATTGGATTCAGGCTCTGCTTTGGTCTAATCCCTCTTCCCGGCTCGATCACATGATTATTGTGGCTGTAGGTTTATTGGATTCAGGCTAACAGGTTTGGATGTATCCTGCTTGGATACAGCCGGAGATCTGGAGATCCAGAGATCTCAAAGCACTTTCCAAAGCAGGTGGGTGTGTTTATGTCCCTTCCCTGACGGGGAAACTGAGGAACAGGAAAGCACCCCCCCCCATCCCTCCATGAAGGTCTCCTGTGTGCTCTACATGTGCACATTTAATAGTTACTACAGTGGTCCTCAAATTTTTTATCTCGCACCCTCCCTTGGCCCTTCCTGTACCCCCAACAACTCCTGAGTCAGAGAGGGGGGTGCAGTTCTGGGGTAGCTTGCAGACAGGTACAGGGGGACCGAGGCTGGTGTTGTGCTGCACGTGGGGGCGGGGAATGAGTTTGCCCAATCCCGGGCTGCATTTCATACCAAGAGCAGCAGCAAGGAAAGGAAGCCGGTGGTTTCCAGTCACAGGGCCAAGGAGCTCTGGAAATTCCTGAGGGGCCATGCTGCGTTGTTTAGGGGCTTTACATTCCTGTGAAAGTCTGGCCCCTGACATGTCATTGCAGCAAAGTCCCTCCCGTGTGGGATCCAGATCCTGGTGTCCTGCAGTCCCCTCTCTGAGTCCCACACATGAGACTGACTGGCCCCTGCTGCCTGGCCTGCCACACGCCTACTGCTGCCTTCTCCTGGTCTTTGCCTGGCTTCCCTAGCAGCAGCATCTTGGGATGCAGGTGACAAAGGGCAGCAAGAGTCACCCCCCTTGTTCCCACTACCTCGGCACTAGTGCAGTACCTAGGGAAACTGAGGCACACACAGTCCTCATGCCAACCAGCCAGACTCACGGCATAACAAGGGGACTCACATGAGGTTTTGACAGAGCACAGAGCACAGAGCACACGCACACCCCTGATTGGGAGGCCAAGGCTGGAAATCAAGGTGGCGAACGTGGAGGCAACATGTTCCCCAGAGGCACAAAATTGCCCAGGAGCCATGAGGGAGAGTGGCCAACTGGCCATAGAATCATAGAACCATAGAGCTGGAAGAGACCTCAGGAGTCATCAAGTCCAGCCCCCTGCCCTAGGCAGGACCAATCCCAACTAAATCAACCCAGCCAGGGCTTTGTCAAGCCGAGACTTAAACACCTCTAGGGATGGAGATTCCACCCCCTGCCTAGGGAACCCATTCCAGTGCTTCCCCACCCTCCTTGGGAAATAGTTTTTCCTACCAACCCTTTGCACCCAGAAACCCAGGGCAAAGGGAACTGAAGAGTCTGGGAGGGGAGTGTGATGAAGTGGAGGATTTGTGGGGGAATTGAAGGGGCTGCCTGCAGTGTCCCCAGCTGTTACTGGTTTAATGATGGGAGGGGGAAGGAGTTTGTTGTTCCAGGGACCAGAACAGAACTGGAGCCCCCAGTAACTGGTGACCTGGAGACCCAGCTCATATGGCACAGCTGGGTCTGGCCAGTGGGAGGCCAATGGGCTGCAGGGAGAGGACCCTGGTGACCATGTTTGGTGAACGTGTGAATCGAGGACCAAGCAGCTGCCCTGCAAATGTCTGCGATCAATACCTGGGCTACAAAGGCTGTTGAGATGGACCGCGCTCTTAGAATCATAGAATAATAGGACTGGAAGGGACCTCGAGAGGTCATCGAGTCCAGCCCCCCGCCCTCAAGGCAGGATCAAGCTCTGTCTACACCATCCCTGACAGATGTCTATCTAACCTGTTCTTAAATATCTCCAGAGAGGGAGATTCCACCACCTCCCTTGGCAATTTATTCCAATATTTGACCACCCTGACAGTTAGGAATTTTTTCCTAATGTCCAATCTAAACCTCCCCTGCTGCACTTTAAGGTTGGGGGGCTGGGCTGGAAGAAGGGGGCTGGGGAGCAGGCAGAGCCCACCTGGCTGCAGGGGAGACTCAGACGTGCTGGGCTGAGGGGGGCCAGGCCTGCAGGCCTGAGAGTTCCTGTGCTGGGTTCAGTGCTCAATGAACCCTCCTGTGTGCCGCTGGCGGAGAGTCGCTCCGGTCTGAGAACAGGGCTGCACTGGCCCCCCTGCGAGTGGAGGCCCCGGGGCCCCAGGGCAGAGCCAGGCGCGCTGGGAGCTCAGAGAGGGGCGGACCCAGGAGTCAGAGGGGCTCAACCCCTGAGAAAGTGAGAGGAACCACAGGAAAGGGCGGTCACGCTGGAGGGGGCTCCCCCCAGGGACTGTATGGGCTAAGCATGGGCATGACCTGGGAGTTTGTGACGGGGAGCAAACTGGGAGTCCAGTGACTGTCTGACAACGCAAACTGGGAGTCCACAACCCCCCACCCCCACTCCATGATTTCCAGCAGGTTTCCTCACTGCAATATGTACAAATGTTACTTAACACCCTCTTCTCTCCCCTCCTCCCCCAGCTCTCTTGGCTCCATACAGCCCCCCTGCAGTATAATAGCCTATCTCAGGCCTTGCTCTCCCAGCCTAGAACCACACCCCGAGCCCGGTTCTTTGTTGGGCCCATCCTGGTAGCACCCACCCCCAGAGGGAGTGATGCTCCCAGAAAACCAACCTGCCAGGTGGGTTGTTGCCCAGCTGACCTGGCTCAGCCCACCAAGCAGGTGTGCTTCCACAGCCACAGCCACAACCCAGTCCCCATATCCTTTCTGCCTCTCTTCTGCCAACAGCTCCCCTAAGCCCCTCTCTTTCATCCTCCCTTCTGCTCCTCCTCTCCCCAGCCCTTTGCCCCCTCTCGTCCTGGACCCACTTCCCACCAGGCTGGGGGAGGTGCCTCCTGGTTCCCAGACTCTGGATCCCCCTGTAATCACTGCCTGGCAGAGTTGAACATGTGGCCTTTGGAGCTTTGTGTAGGAGACTCTATCGATTGAGCTATAAAGCCAGCTGAGTCTCAGCTTAGGCTGTAGAGCTCCCTTGTTCGGCTCTCTTGCTGCAAGTGGTCTAAGTGTAACTCCATGGGTCAGTGACCCACTGTGTTACACCCCCCTCTTCTGTCTCTTTTCTGAGGTCCAGGCTGCAGGGTGAGTTCACAGCTGACCCTTGGCAATAACAAACTGCCTTGTCACACATGCCGCAGCCAGGGAAACTCAGGCAGGCAGACAGTGTTCCTGCAAGCCACAAAGGAAATTGCCCCTCATAGCTGCATCACAGGCCCCTTTCGTCCAAAACGAGCTGAAAAGAGGAACAATCCCCCCTCCCCCGCAAACACACACACATGCACAAAGATTAAACATGGCTTCCGCTGCTCAAAGGGGCCCAGCCACAGCCCAGGATAGAAACTCGTCAATTTCAAAGGCCTGAAAGGGGGGGCTGTGGTCATCCAGTGGGGGTGGGAGGGTGACCGGCTGGGGAAGTATGAGGGACTGGCACCCTTTGCACTGCAAGAGACCAGGAGGAGAGTGCAGGGACGAGGGGAGTCACATGTCGGGACAAAGGTACATCTGGAGATGGAGAGCGGGGCTGCGTGTGTGTGCACCTTTAAAGGTCACTGTGATGTCATTGCCTGCTCTACTGTGACATCATGGCAGGCAGACCCTCCCCCTGCACCCACCTAGGCCTCCCGTGGCTGGAGGCAGCCGATGGCAGCGTGGCAGCTGCTGCAGCTCCTCCTCCTCGGGGCCACGGGGACCTGGGCGTCAGGTGCGTGCCAGGGAGCAGCTGCCCCTCCCCCAGTCATGCCCTGCTCCCCCAAAGAAGGGGGCCAAGTCATCCCTCCCATTGATTGGCCAGGGTGACCCCACCCCGGGTCTGGTGCTGTCCCTGCATGTGATGTCACAGCAGGCTCTGATATACACAGGGGCTGTGATGTCATCCAGTGAATGGTGATGAAGGGACCTCACACAGGCGTTAAATGGCCCACCTATAGAAGCTGCAGATGGGAAGGGCTGGGAGCCAGGACTCCTGGGTTCTCTCCCTGGGTCTGGGAGGCATATGGGGGTTGGTGGGTAGAAGAGGAGCAAATGTTTCTAATCTGGGTTCTTGTCACCCAGGCTGTGGCTTCCGGCCGGGATACGACAGCACTGGCCCCTCCTCTGCATCCCGCATCATTGGGGGTCACAAAAGCCACCCCGGGGAATGGCCTTGGATTGTGAGTCTCCAGATCCAAGGGCAGCACTTCTGTGGGGGGAGCATCATACACTATTGGTGGGTGCTGAGCGCAGCCCACTGCTTCCACGACACCCGGTAAGAGGGGCTGCAGGTCAGGAGTGAGCGAGGGCAGGGCTGGGCTGGCAGAGGTGGTGGGTCTAGAGTGAGAGGCACTGGCTGTCCCCATCGTGCAGGAAATCACCAGGCCCTGCACCCCCATCTGCAGCCAGACATGACTTTCAGCTGGCAGGTAGAAGAGAAGGTTTATCAGGCTACAGGGACACAGCATAGAACGGACTTGTCAGCACAGGAACCAGAAGCAGCCAGCACCATCCATCTGGGGAGAGGGGCTCAGAGCCAAGGGCCCCCATTCTCCTCCTAGCACCCCAAGCCAGCGAGACTCACTCACACCCCCAGCAGCCTGTATCAGCCCTGCAGCCTGCCCTGCCTCTAGCTTTTGTCCAGTTTAGAGGCAGGGGAAGGGTGTCACCTGGCTACACAGCCTGTCTCAGGCTCAGGTTTCAGAAAGCATCAGTCATTGGTGTACGTGGGAAAGGGTGTCACCGAAATTCCCATCCCCATCTAGGTAGTGGTCAGTACCCAGGGAAACTGAGGCATACACATGGGGTTGCTACAGCACAGTAGAAATCACATGAAATATAACAAAGAGAACAGAGTAAATACAATCCCCATTTTGTCACACTGGCAGGGCTGGGGGCTGGCAGGGGCTATGTCTTGGGAGTGAGGGGCACCAGCAGGGCTTGGGGAGCTCAGGGAAAGGCTAGCAGGGGCTGCAGGTTGGGAGTGAGGGGCACCGGCAGGGCTGGGGGAGCCCAGGGCTGGGCTGACAGGGCTGCGTGTTGGGAGTGAGGGGCACCGGCTAGGCTGGAGGAGTCCAGGGATGGCTTGTCATGGGGCTGCAGGTTAGGAGTGAGGGGCACTGGCAGAGTTGGGGGAGCGCAGGGCAAGGTTGGGTTAACTGCGGGTTGGGAGTGAGGGGCTCTGTGATTTTATCCATGCCAGGCCACAGGACGTGCTGGTGGCAGCTGGCACTGTGACCCTGGGCATGGGCGGTGTCACCCGGCGGGTTCGGCAGATCCTGCGCCACCCCAGCTACAGCCGCAAAACCTACGACTCAGACCTGGCCCTGCTGCTGCTGAGCCGGCCCCTGCCCCCTGGCCGGGAGCTGGGTTTCGTGTGCCTGCCTGGGGAGCCAGACGATGAGGATGACAGCCAGTGGGGCAGCTGCTACGTGGCCGGGTGGGGCACCACGAAGTACGGTGAGCGAGGGCCCCAAGGCTGGGCAGCTTGTCTAGCCAGGGTGGGTCTGGTCTGGTCTGGGGTGCAGCCGGGTGGTGGCTGGCTGGGGTAGGTGGGTGCAGTGGCTTAGTGAGGGGGAACCAGCAGGGAGTTGCCCCTGGGCACCATGCTGGGAGGGGCGCCAATTTAGTCCTCTTCCACTCCCCCTGTCATCCCTCGGCTGGCCAGCTCCTCCTCCACCCGCCACTGTCAGTTGGAGCCACTTTCCCACCTCTCTGCCCTCGGCCTGGCTCTCCTCCATCTCCACCGGCAGGTTAGTGTGTGCAGGGACCAGGCCTCAAACTGGAGGGGGCGAGGGAAGACGTGGTACAAGCCCCCCAGGGCTGGGCTCAGCTGTGTGCCAGGTTGAGGGCCCCGCTGTGCGGCAGCAGGCACAAATTTTGCCTTTGCTCCCACGTGCATAACACCCTCGCTACGCCCCTGGGTGGGTGTCAGGGGCAGGTCTGGCTGGAAGGTTGGTCTGGAGCTTGTCCAAACAAGAGTTCAGGGGTCCCCCGCATGGAGTGTGACAGGGCAGGGTCAACCAGGAGGGCAGTGGGGGTACTGTGGCTTCAGGGGAGCCATGCCCGGGAGGTATCAGGCATAGGTTCAGCCAAGTGGATGACAGGGGGAGGGGGCAGGGCTGGTTGGGGCTGGGTCCTGGTAGGGGGAGAGTCCCACAAGGCGGCAGGGTTGTCTGGGTCAAGTTAGGAGTGGGTCCTGCAGGAGCGGTGAGGGGAGGGTCCCACTGAGCAGGGCTGGCTGGGAGCAGGTCCTAGCAGGGATGGCAGGGGGAGGGTCCCACAAGGGGCAGGGCTGGCTGGGGGCAGATTGGGGTGGGTGCTGGTGGGGACGGCAGAGGACGCCGGGCCGGGGGCGTGTGGCCGGGGCTGCAGCCACATCTCTCGCAGGGCAGGAGCGGGTGTCGAGGGCGCTGCTGGAGGTCGGGGTGCAGGTCGTGGACTGGCTGCGCTGCATGTGGTGGATGGGAGCTCTGACCCAGAACATGATCTGTGCCGGACACGAGGAGGGCGGCCGGGATGCCTGCCAGGTGGGGCACCCAAGCTCCTCTCCTGCCCTCCAGGACCCCCTGGCCCTTCCCTACCCACCCTGGTGCTCCCAGCCCTTTCCTGCCCTTTGGGACCCTCAGCCCTTCACCCTGGCCCCCAGAATCTCCACTCACTCCTCTGACTTGGTACCCCATTTCCCGCAGCCCCTCCTCCAACCAAGGCCCCATAAACCAAAAGCCCTCCCTTTGCCCAAACCTCTCCCCTCTAAGGGCTCGACAACTGCCCCAACCACCCCAGGGAGGACCAGGGCCCCCATATGCAGATCCCCATAAATCCCCAAACCTCTCCCACCCACACACTCTGGACAGGTCATACCCCTCTACCACTCGGCTACCTTCCTTTTTGTCCCTGTCCTCTCACCCCCGGATTGCTCTTTGGTTCTCCTCTTGTCTTTCTTTCCTGCATCTGGCTCCTTTCTCCCAGTATTGCTGGTTCATGGCCTCCTTCACATCCTTCCCTCACAATCTCCAAAGCTCCCTTCCTCCTTCGCATCCTTCCCTCATGGCCTCCAATGCCACCTTCCCTTATGGCCTCCTTCATGTATTTCTTCCTTCACTTCCTTTCTTCGTGGCCTCCTACTTTCCTCTTCCACATCCTTCCCTTATGGCCAGCCACGCATCTTTACTCCATGTTCTTCCTTCACAACCTTTTTTACATTTTTCCTCTTTCTTGGCCTTCCCTTGCAGCCTCCATCATCATATCTTTCCAGCTTCACTTCCTGCCGTCATGGTCTGCTATGCATTTCTCCTCCTTGCATCCTTCCCTCACAGTCTCCTTCACATCTTTCTTTCTTCAGGGCCTTCCCCCTGCCCTGCTTCATGTCTTTCCTCCTTCCTGGCCTTCCCTCATGTCCTCCTATGCATTTCTCTCCCTCACTTTCTTCCCTCTCAGCCCCCCTTTGCTTCTTTCCTCGTTAGTCACTTTCTGTCATGGCCTCCTTCATGTCATTCCTCCTTTGCTTCCTTCTCTCACACCTCCTTAACATCTTTCCTTTTTCACAGTCTTCCCTTGTGGTCATCTTCACATATTTTCTACTTTGCTTCCCCCCCTCAAGGTCTCCTATGCTTTTCTGCTCCCCTCAGCCTTCCCTCTGTGATGTAGTGGGCGCTCTGTTTGGGCAGGCATTCACTGGTTGCTGTATTTGGGCTGTGGGTGACCCCTACTGGCCTGTGTCTGTAAGCACTGCCCAGCAGGGGGAGCTGCCTGAGATCACGTAGACCAGTGGTCCCCAACCATTTGAAGCTCCTGGGCACCGGGGGCGTGGCCATTCGCCTGCCGGGCACCATAGGGCGGGGACACTCACGCACCCGGGGGCGGGGCTGCGCATACGCCACACCCCCATGAGCCACATGCCTGGGGCCAGCAACCCTATGCGCCGCGTGGCCACGGGCGGGGGGGGCGCCCATTCGCTGCAAGCCTGGGGCCAGCGTCCTCTAGAGCCACGCGCCCAAAGCCGGCACCCCCCCTATAGCTGCGTGCCCGGGGGCGGGGAAGCAAATTCGCCGTGCGCCTGGGGAACAGAGCGCCCAATTCGCCGCGCTCCCGGGGCCGGCGCCCCCCATGCGCCATGTGCCCGGGGCCGGCTCCGGCACCATGCATGCGCCACGCACCCGGGGCGGGGGCAGCCCCGAGCACTTGGAGGGCACAAACAAATGCCCCCGCAGGCGCCATGGTGCCCACAGGCACTGTGTTGGGGACCACTGACATAGACAAAGACCCAACCTGTCCTGCCTGTGGAGGGCAGGGACTGAACAAAGGAAGTGAGTGTTCGGGGGAAGGGTCAGTTTCATCTGAGGGAATCCATGAAGGGGACAGACTAAGCAGAGGGTTGGGAGTTTAGGGGCCTAAGCACCCCATCCCAAGGGGTCTGAGGCATTCCCCGTCTGTGCTGGACTGTATCCTGGAGAAGAAATAACCCCCCTATTCTACCGGCTGGCGGAGTCTGTTCTGGCTGCTACAGGGGTGCAGGATTGGGGGGAACCCTGACGCACCGTCACACCCTCGCAACCTCCTTTGTTGCTCTCCTCCTTCACAGCCTTCCCTCCTGGTCTCCTTCCTGTCTTTCCCCCTTGGCAGCCTTCCCTTGTGGCATCCATTGCATTTTTCTTCCTTGCATCATTCCCTCGGAGGCTCATTCATATCTTTCCTTCTTTGAGGCCTTCCCTCACAGCCCACATGACTGAGGAACTGGCCTTCCTATGCAAATTTGACACAATCTCCCAGGGATTGAACAATGACATGAACTGGATGGGCTGTTATATTCAACCCCCAAATTACATGAAAAGCTAGGTATGGGACACTTACAGCCCACTCTATTAGCCTCATTTAACATGGGCACTATAATTGACTGGTTTTTTCCCTCCCCCTCTCCCTTCTTTTCTTCTTTAAATTTGGGGGTTCTCTACCTTTTGCTCCACTCATCTGAAGAAGTAGATTGTGCCCATGAAACCTCAAGTTACTTTCCTGATTCTCTCTCTCTCTCTCTCTCTCTCTCTCTCCCCTCCCAGAGTTGGTAACGAAGTAAGAATAGACATTAAAATGTTATGGCTAAAAAGGGGCCC